CCTGTTTATAACCAGAACATTGTATCTCTACCTGGGAACAGAGTGCTTCAGGGTTATACCCCGACCCAAATAACAACAAACCAAAAAAAAAAGCACCCTATGTTATATAAAGGTAGAGTTGAGTCATGAGAGTGCAGCAGTGTATCTGTACTACACTGAAAAAAGGATGAGTTTAGCAACTACTTCACTGAATCAATGCAGCTAAGAAGCTCTCAGAAAAAAGTACAAGAAATCTAAAGCAGAGATATTGCAGCTTTCTCCCCCTTGCCCCTGTTTTGCATTGTTTTGATTTCGCAGTGCACGATGTACGTGTAACACGCTTTGACTCCTGTAACATCTGTGTGGTTAAGCAGGGATCATCTACCCTGGGGCAAGATGCTAACCAGGAGTATAAAGTATTTGTAATGCTGGCTTTTATCTATTTATCAAACATTTAATGTTTGTCAGACTGGATGGATTAAAGCCATTTGAATTTTTCAGTCTGCAGAGAGACTTGACAGAGAAAGTGAGAGATTGGTTACATTATTTCCAGATTCTTTTTTAAAAGCAGAATTGTCATAGTAAAATCATTGGTAGGCCAAATGAATTGAAGAATTACGGTAATTTGTGAGAGGGAAAATTTAGGAAGATTTAAGCTCTTAGAATTAAATTTTTCCCAGCTGTGTTGTCAGCTCTGTGACCTTCTGCTCCAAGGATATTACCTGCATGCTGTGAGAACCAATCACTTGTTTAACAGGTGTGTTGATTAGACAAAGCACTAAGAATTGTTTCCAACGAAACACACAGTCTTGTCTTTTACTTGGTTGTAGCTTCTTTGTATCAGCACCAGTATCCACATGGCACTGTACTGTATGGGGTGGACATAATGCAGATTATACACAGGGAACTAGATTGCACAATAAAAAAAAAGCTGTTACAGTCATTCTTTATCACTTAAGGACATTAAAACTACTAGTTCTTCACATCCGAAAGGCTGATCATTGACTGAATTGTTACTTCTGCTAGAAAGAAACAAGCAATAATGATCTCCAGTGAGATCCTGGGTGTTTGTATGTGTAGACAGGTTCCTGCTTCATGTGGCGTGGCCAGAGTCGCGCGTCGGGAGACACTTTTCATTCTCACCATTCCATGCCTATTTCCACACAACACACTGCTCAAACAACCTCTTTGCTTCTTCTCATGATCCTCTTGCTAGAAATGAAACTCCGGTTTTGCTGACTGCCCAGGTCTGTGATCTCCACAAGTAGAGACCCTCCTAGTTACTCCTGGTCTACAGTGCAAGGGTTTATCAGCAGGCATAAATTTCTGTGGTTATAGGTGTGCGTGTGCCCTCCTATTTGTTATGTGAGATAGCAAAAGCCAATTTGTCAGCCTGGGAACTGGTCATCTTTGACCTTCTATCCTTCGCAGTGATCTTAGCTTTCAAATGACAAGTCTATCAGCAAAATTACTATGTAGACATTTTATTGTTTATATCTGTTCCAAAAGGCCTTTATCCATAACCTATGATGCCCCTGCCTTTGACAGTACTTCTCCCTTTGAAGCTTGGGAAGGGAAGGGGACAAAAGAACTAGAGTCCTACAATTCCCCCTTCCCTAAGTATCCTCATCTGCTCTTGTACTCTCTCTTTTTTTTTCCTAGCCCACTTGGCAAATTACTTAACATAAAGAGAAGAATCACTTCTCTATCCTCAGAGTTTTGTTCAGGGCATCCAGGATTTTCAGCCTGTGAAGAAAGAGAAGGCTTTTCACAGCTGCAGTGGGACAACTGCAGAAACAGAAGTATTTGTGCAACACTGCAATGGAAAAACAAGTCAACAGCAGTGAAAGAGCTGAGAAATGATGTTAAGCTAAGATGAAGTCCTTACATAAGGTAGCTCATGAAAAAATCTCCCCTGTGCCAGCACCCTTCCTTCAGGATTGCATGCTTTACTCCATAAGGAGCCTGTATCTCCTCTGCTATGGGCTCCTCATGATTTGGTAGAAGCAATCCTGCAGATGTGTGGCAAAAGGTAAGTCAGCTTGGCATAATCTTTCACAAAGTCCACAGTTTTTTGAAATCTAGAGGATCTGGAATGGATCCAAACATGGAAAAGGAGGGCTGTCAAGTGCAGTGGTGTGTGCTGCTGAATGCAAGGATATTTTTAGCCTAGTTACTAAAGGTTCAAGTTATCACTCTGTAGAGTATCTGTCTGGGGATCAATCTCCTGTCATTTTTAAACCTGACGGTTAATTTTACTCCAAATAGTTAGCATAATATAATAACATATCATACAATGTCTTATAAGAGAGTATCACCTTTTTCAGTATGATATAGTACTGTGCAGCACACTGCAAAGCACAACAATCTAAACTGCAGCAGCTCATAGTGCAATATGATGCAACATAATGTACTTCCCAAACGAAGGTAGTCATGCATTATCTCAAGGCCTTTTAGAGGACACAGTCATTGGGAAGGATGGAGATGGGGAGGAACAAGAAGTATTTGTCATACTTGAAGCTTGAACTGCTGAGAACTGGGAAATAAAGTTAGTAAATTCTCTAATGCAGCCTTGCTTCTGCCCTTTTCAGCAGATAAAGGGAACACATCATTAATCTACACTTTCACACGTTACCAATATGCCTTGTTCAGAGAACAGGAAATGTTATCATTGCAAGCACTGTAACAAGTTCTATCAAGCAAATCTTGTTCTAGGAATGAGGCACAGAGTTGAGCTGCCTGCACTTATTCTAAGAAAACCTTGATTACCCCACTGATAATGCCCACTTCCTGCCAGTGTTTACAACCTATTCATTTTCACCCAGGGCATTCCCTTTCCCACTGTCCTTTTACTTGTCTTTCATTAACATCCTCCTTTTATGTTCCCTTGGGTAATACAGCTAAGACCTTTCAAAGGAGGGTAATGAATCGATGCCAAAACAGCATATATTCTGACATTGCTTCAACTGTTTTTGAAAGGAATCCTATGCTTCTTACCCTGCACTGCACCAGGTAGCTGTTAAGCTGATGAGACATGGGGGCTGGAGTTGACTATATGTCATAGACATGTGTGCTGCCAGCAAAGGGTTTCAGCACTGGAGCCTTCAGAGTCATTTCAAAAAAGTTCTGGGCATAGCATTTTCATTCTTCTTCATCTCCTGAGTTTATTGTACACCATCGTAATCCCCAAAGAGAAAACTCAGTGAAACAGCACTGCTTTCCTCCTCTCTGTGTGCCTCTGTGTGCAGCCATTGCACCCTGTGGTTCTGACTTTCCTCTTTCTTTTCACACTTGGCTCTTGTATGAGCACTTAGTTTTTTAAAGGGAGCAGTTTTTATCTGCTTTCGTCTACTCGGGTTGTCTCTAATTTTGTAATCTTCTTTGGCATATTGCTCACTGCCAAAGATATCTTCCTGTTCCTGGATATCTCTCCCACGCCCCTCAGCAGTGGCACACACACACCACATCCTGCTCCATCAAAGAAACCATGCAATTCTAATCTTTGTTACACAGCTAAACCATCCCTCCTTGTAATCCCAGGATACTCATGTCTTCCAGTATCATCTCAACTGCATCTCCTAATCTCACGCTCCCCTTTCCCTCACGAGAAAGGGATTCTCTGCTTAAAATAAAATGTCTCACACCACCAGGTCTGCAAAGCACCCTAAAGCAGCTGCGCAAATTCCCTTCTCTTTTTTCCCACCCCCTTCATCATTAACTATGTCTTTTGTTCTCCCTACAGAGAGGCTGAAGTCTCTCAGTTTTGATATGTTTGTGCTTGAAATATTTACTTTGCACTACCATATCCCTCAGCCCTGCCTGATTCCCCCAGAACAGTGTCTTTGGCCTCTCTGGAGTAGAGAGAATGTAAAATGTTGGCATTGTATTACATAATTCAGAAAAGAAACCACAAATAGACTTGCTGTCTATAGCAGGAGTGTCAACAATGTAACCAGGGATCAAGCAATCTGTATGCAATTTAGTTAGTTAAAGTCCCTGAAGATCAGATTAGAGATCTCTCCTTCTCCGTTACTCATCTGTTCTGTGAGCACTTGTCTCAGCAGATTAACACAAACGGGCTTTTCTAGGCTTTCTTAGCAAGTAAATGGTAATAAACCACCATGTCTTTCAAAATCCACAGACCCGGGCTACGTTTTGTAGTGAGTTATGCAACTGGGCAAATTGGAGATGAGATGCACAAGGCAATTCCTGGCAGAACCAGTTGGAAACCTACTGAGACTCACTGTTTTTCATATCATTATGCTGAAAGGTCTCAGGCAGGGCAACAGATGACACCCTTTTCTCCTTCCACTCACTCCCACCAAGGTATAGTGCATGGAGCAAAGAAATTTCTTCTACTGTTCCACTACAGTCCAGATTGCTACCACAGGAGCCCTTTTTATGTGTCACAGCACCTTCCTCTGGTAAGCCATGGCACTAAGACTCACCAGCCCATTTCGAGCAAACTTGCCAATGATCATGATACCAGACAATAAGGTGCCATAGTCAGGGTTCATTTCAGCATTTGCAACAGAAAGGCAAGCTAGTCAGGAGAGCCACTTTTCCTTGGTGAGAAGAGCCAGCATTCAGCCATCCTGAGGAGTACTGGGTAGGAGGTAAACACTTTGTTGCTTTTTTTCGGTTGTGTAGTACAAAACAGCTATTAAAAATATCTAATGGGATTGCCTAGTACGGTTTCACTGAGGCAGGGTGCCAGGGCATATTATGTAAAGAGTTGATCTTTCCTACATGTTAAATAGGATATAGAATAGTCAGTTGCCACTCCTCCTTTCTGGCAACAGGCCCACCCTCATGCACTTCCATATAAACTGGGCCCCTTGTAGCAGAATAGCTGCCCAAGGTACCAGCAAGACTCAGAAACTGCAGTGATGCTGTGGATGATGGCAGTTCTCTTCTCAAGAATCAAGGGTATGCTCCTCCTCTTGTTCCTCCCATGCTTTTGTTCTAGTCAGCCTTCATCTCCACTGCTGTGTTTGTCCATCTTCCTGGATCCTTCAAACATGGTCTACCTCCACTGGGACCATGACGAACATGAGCTGACAACATTTGAGCTGCAGGTCCATACAACTGGCTGGGTGGCATTTGGATTCAGCCCTCATGGAGAGTTGCTTGGATCTGATATTGTGATAGGAGGTGTCTTCCCAAATGGCAGTACCTACTTCTCTGTAAGTTGAAAAGACTTCCTCTGCATCCCCCTTTGCTAAGAGTCATGCTCCAAGTATATTGCCTTGAAAGTATATGGGCTCAACTGGCTAAAGATGTCCAAGGCTATTAGAGATCCTCAGTTGGCATGGCCTCTGACTGACCATCCAGAAGAGCCCAGTTCTTCTGCAGGTCCCGTGTCATGCCTGCTAGCCCCATGCAGCCACCTGAGATACCCTATGGTATCCCAGATGGCACTAGATAATGTTGTTTAGGCAAATAAACTGATCTCATCTGCACGTCACAAACCACAGACAGAACCAATTAGATATGACTGAAGCAATCACCTACCATGAATCTGGAAGAGGCTGCTACAAGTGTAACTTCTGGTTCATCCAAACCAGAGGACAGTTCAGGCAAGAGTCAGATGTGAAACACCCATGTTTTCCCTCACTGAAGCTCTTCAAAGGTTAATTCACTTGTTTCCTCCATAGTAAGTGGAGACAGGTGTTCACCTCCAAAGATTGCTTTTTCCTGATGTTGTTAAATGTCTCCCTTAGGAATAGGATAGGGTATCCTTGGGACTTACTGTTTTTTCCCTTGTCTGTAAAGGCAGCCACTAAGGATAGATGCCTACTGTTAAAACTGCTGGAGTTTAGAGGAATAAAATGCCACTGAGGGTGCTAAATAAGAAAACAGTGTTGTTTTATTTTGTTTTGTTTTGATCATGAAAGAGAAAGTCAGTTTAATGTTATCCAGAAACAGAAAGAAAGTGTTTACACTGATGAAGAGTTTGCCAGTCACAGCGATTTTATTTTGTTCAGTTGCTTTCTGTTCCCTTTTCATAAAACGGTAAAATGTGTTTTGCATTAAATATGTCTCGGTGCTTGTCTAAAATGGGTGAACTTTGGAGGGGGTGAGGTAGCTAGCCTTGGTTATGGTCATTAGTTGGTTGCAAAACTGTTCTTGTGTAATACCCAGTTTTGAAATCTTTTTGTGATTGTGACACAGACAGGGGATTTTTGGCAGTGAATGACTAAAGGGAAAAAAAAAATGATCAATTTAAAAGAAACACTTGTTCTTTATTTTTTAATAATGATTTTTTTTAAGTGATTTGGGGTAAAAACAAAGCATTTAATTTCTCCTAAAAGAACATCCTGAGAGGAAAAATTTAAGTGTTTGGTTTCAAAAATATTAAGCATTCCACTATTTTCAGAAGAGATATTTAACATTTTCAATGTTTTTCTGCATTAGTAGCTGAAACTCTTTGTTTATATTAGAAAATAATTTTGGTCCCACAAAAGTTTCAGATTTTTTTCAACTCTTTTACATATCAGAAAATAACTCCCAATTATTCAGGTCTGGTGACATTCCAGTAAGCAAGAACATTAATGACCATTGCTCAGTAGGCTGTAAAGCACATCCTCTGAACCCATGGAACAGACAGTTTGAAAGAAAAATACGCTACTTCCTGCAAATGGAGTTTAAGTGGGGTGTTCCATTTGCATTCCTCCTTCTAACCCTCTCTCTCTTACACCCTTGTTTTTTGTTTTAATTTTCCTCTTTACTACAACCATAACAAAGTCATTATCTGTGTAATGTCCAACGGGTGAAAAACTAGCCAAAAAGGCTTGTTTTCACAAAGGTGGAGGGGTATTTTCAGCTGTTTACTGCCTTCCCCTTTCATAAGGCATATTTAATTTCAAATATTGTATTTATTTCAAAATAGCTTATTTGCAGACTACTTATCTTTGAATTTGGATCTTCTAATGAAAGAGTGACACAGGTATTTCAAAACAGCATGAAAACAGAAGCTGTATTTTCAAACTACGATATGTCCCTCTGTAAATTGAGCATTTGGGTTAAAGAAAAATTGTTTAGAGTATTCTGAAACTCCAAATCCATGGATAAATTCAAGAAGAAAGAATATTAGAGGAGATACTGGGATATTTAGCAAAAGCTGTAAGCAGATATTGAAACAATCACTTGAACAGAGACGGGAAGAAAAAAATACCAGTAAGGATTTAATATAAAAATGTTCTTCCTTGACCAGAATGTTGTCTGGTAAAATTTTTTTCTTTTCATTGTAGCACTTAACAGCTGTATATTAGGGAGACATTTGCTTTAGTATGTTTCAGGTTTTTCTTGGAGAGATTTTCATCCCGTCTGCAGACACTGCCTTCTCCTTTCTGGTCATTTGAACTCCTTTGCCACAAAAATATGATGCGATCTCGGTCAGTCAGCTTGCCTTTGACAACTTGATGGTCTGCTTTATGCTTTCTACCCTTCTTACTCTTCTTCCCTTTTGCAGCTGTCTGTCCAGCCCCACCTTTTCACCTCGTATTTTCATAGCACAGTTATTGTGGCCCATTCTGTTCCCAGTAAGATTTCTACGGGAACTAGACATTTAGATGTTTTTCAAACTCTGCCTCACTTTTCTGTGCCTTTTTACTGAGTAACAATTGCATTTGATGACCTCTAGTCATGCATTATTTGTCTTTTTCACTATGCCTGTGCTGCTAAAGCCATTGATTAGCTTGCAGTTTCTAGGAGAGCTCAATATCCACAACCAGGCCCAGGTTCCAAGTGGTGTGGAAAACCTAAGAGTTAAAGTAGAAGGTTTGGTATGCCTGAAATATTTTACTTTGTAACTTCCTCTGTTTTTCAACAGAGCTTATTTTACTTCTCACCCTGTGTGGTTGAGCCAGATGTGCTAAAATGCCTCAGCATGCAGCAGGTCACTCACTCAGGGAGCAGGGATGATCCTCTAGTTTCCATCCTATCCAGGCCAGCCTCTGAGTGATAGGACCCTGGGTTTGCTCCTTCCTTGAGCAGCTGGATATAGCAAGGACTGGATGTGGGTTTTCTTCCATTGGTTTGTAGAATTCACCAGTGAAAGCAGAGCAGCTTTTTGGAGAATGAAATGCTTTGACAATTACTCAAGTCCCACATGCTTTACTTGGAAACATGATGTCTTGGACTGTAGGAAGCTCTTCTCTTCTCTCTATTGCTTTGACCACTGATCCTTTTCCGGGATTGTCATGTGGTAGATGAGGCAATGCTTGAGGAAGATGAGAGGCAGGACTACTAACTGCTGTCAGTGACAGAGAATGGGACTTTCACCACCATGCTCTTCAAACACCACCTCTGGACATGTGACCCAAATGACCTGGATATCACAGTGAGAAGGGGGGTTGCTCAAGCAACATCCCAAATGACCCATTCTTATGTCCCACTGTATTCCCAAATCCCTCAGATCAGATCTGAGAATGACAGGTTTTTCTCAAACCAGCACAATAACAGGAATACAAAAAAATAATATGGAACCATAGAGTCACATTTATAATGTCAATTTCAAGGACACTATTTTGATGTCTATAGTGTGTCAGAACACACTATTTTGTGTTCTGACATTGTCTGAGTGTCTGGGTATGTACCAAATATGCACAGTTATGTTATTTTAGGTGACTTCTAATTGCACATAGTTAGTATGTTGATTGTGTTTTAATACATGTGCAGTTGTACAAAGCATGTGATGTAAGGTGAAGATGTGTGCATGGTTGATGGGAAGGAATTAAGGAGATTTTCCAGTGAAACACTCCCACTACAGGTGGACACAGCATGCCTCATTACTGCATTTGGCAGTGATGGCATAGTACAATTCTTTAAAGGCCAAAGATTTTCCAAATCTCTTTTCTTGATGAGGTACAGAGGCCCATCTGACCCCAAAATATTCTTCACCTATGACCTGAGGCTGGACAATGTAAGTACTGGACAAGAACTTTACTTGGCATGTTGAAAATGTCCCCTTCTTCTGCTGTTCTTGCAAAGTTGATCATGCCCATGCTGGAGGTTTGGATTGCAGAGGTCAAAAGGGCATGACTGATCCTGGAAAAAGGCAAATAGAGCTGGCAAGAGTAGGAATGAGGTGGGAATGGAAAGCTTGCAGTGTGGAGGGTAAAGGGTTTATTTGTTAGGAAAATGCTGTAAGGAGATCCCTGTTCCCTTGACTAGAGTTTACAGAGCCAAATGCAGACTGTGGTGCTACTGAATTGCAATATAATTATTAACTCACGTATATAAGTATACAGGTCTGCTATCCCATCCATATAGACCCATATAAAAATATCTATAACATACTGCAGGTATTTACTGCTTCCCATCTTAGTTTCATGGGAACTACACAATATCACAGAGGAGAGAAATAATGGATATACATTTAGATGCTCTGTGATAAGTCTGGCTAGGAGTTCAGTAAACGCAATACACACTACTGTGTGTGCTGCCTCCAGTATCAACTTAGGCAGCATCTCAGCATCATTTATAGGGATTTACCAGGAGAGCTGGAGCCTTGCCTTAGCGTAACCTTGTGGTACATGCACCATCCTTGTCAAATGGAGTTCAAAAGTATCAACTCAGTGTGGTATTGCATTAACACCTTCCTTCTTTAAATAGCATCAGCCCACACAATCAGCACTCACTCAAGACACAGCAGAACCTGCTGATCAGCATGGGTAACATTCCTTAGTAAAGAGGGGCATTATTTTTGTATAAAGATCTGTGGGATTAGTGCTATCATGTGTTGTGCTTATGACTCCAGAAAACTAGCAATTAAAAATGTTGATTGAGCTGAATGGATGTTTCCTACACTTGGTTATGTTACAATAGACAAATTAGTAATGCAATTCCCTTTCAGAAAAACAAACAAACAAACAAACAAAAAAAAACCCACCACAACATAAAAAGTCTGAAAGAAAAAGACTTTAAGACCTGGAGGAGCTGACAAATGTGTTTGCCATACACCAGAATACAGTTTCATCTTCTTGACCCTTTAATCCTCTCACTCATTGCAACCAAAAACCAAGCAGTTGCTTGCTAAATGCATCATCCTTCCTGCCCCCTCCAGTTCTGAGTCTCACTCATCTTGCATCGCCTGCCTTTGGCTTCTCCAATTCCCTGTGCCAGGGGAACCTCAGGTGACTTGTGTGTGTTTCTTTTCCAGTTTGCCATTCTAGCTGAAGAAACCAAATATGCATGTACCTTTATCCCACTGCCCATGGTCAGCAGAAACACCGTATCTACAAGGTAAACTTGCAGGCTGCCTTACTGGGGAAAAAAAAAAAAAAAAAAAAGGACACTGCAGCCAAGAAATTGGTGTATGAGGTAGACTATATACATATCTAGTCTGGAAGAACACTGCCCAGCATAACAGGTCAAATAGACATACCCGTGATTCTAGTTAAATAGAGGTGCTTTAAAGGAAGATGTAAATCCTTTCTGGAAAAATGGACTCTGCTGGGTGCACACTGAAATGTGCAGAAAAACCATCATCCAGTTCACCGTCCATTTTGTGAATCAGATTATATCTGTTTGCCTAAGACATGGTTAGCTGCTTTTTCTGGTTGCCTGGGAAAGAAATATTTTAGGGTTGACAGTAATTTTTTTTTGACTCTCTCTTGGTTACAGTTTGAACCTGTAATAACACCCCACAACATAACCTTGGTTCATCATGTTCTTGTTCATGCCTGTGGCAATGCCAGCACGTTACCCTGTGGCATAGATGGTTGCTATGGAGCCAATCCAGATTTTGCCCTGTGCTCTCAGGTGCTTGTGGGCTGGGCTGTTGGAGAGGTGAGTCTGCAGGGCCCATTCTCTTCCCCTTTTCTTGTTATGAAGGGTAGCATCCTTGTTGTCAACTTGTCCAGTTGTCATGTTAAGAGTAAGGATGTGACATTTGCCTGTCAGAGTCCTCTCAGGGGCTTTCACTGAAGCAGTTTCACAAAGTTGCAAATACATATAATTTATTAAAGCGACAGATATAACAGGTGCAGAATTACCATTGATAAATGCACTTACTGCAATAGCGCTAAAATACTATAATAACGCTAGCCAAGTTTTCCTGGGTATTCTTCACCAGGGGCGAATGCGCAATTCTTACCAAGAAGGCGTCACTATCTTGGCTGGAGGAAGAGAAGCACAGCCCATCAACCATCTCTTCTAGATCTTCAGTCCCTTTCTCCCAATTTTTACCTCTTATTCTCCTCTTTTTATTCTCTAATTCTCTGTTTCCCCTCCCACGGGTTACATATAGCATGATTTAGGTGGGGAATTGAGTGACACAGTCATATATGTACAGAATTAGGCAGAGGTGTTAACTGTAATATTAATTTCCAGATGAAGCTGCAGTTTCCATAGGGACACCTTGGGACCCTCAGTACGTCTGACTAGAAATCCATTACAGCAATTTTGACTTGTTACCAGGTGGGTAAATGCTGGGCAGTTGTCTGACAAAGAACAGCCTTAGGATGGAAGCCTCAGACCTCACTTGCAAGTCTTTTAGAAACCAGCTTCTGCATGAAACACTTCCATATGTTGCTCAGTACAGCATTCAGGACAGTAAGAATAAACTGGACTGGGGTCCCATTCAGGAAGAACTTAAACTAACATTAGAAACATCGATAGTTATATCTGCTTAGATTAGACAGATCTTACCATTGAAAAAGCTGAGCACGTCTTCCTGCTATGATACTAGCCGGAGTGTTAGGGAAAACATCAGGGAAATGGAGGCACCATGGGAAAAAGGAGCAGTGTGGGAAGGGATAGAGTGGCTGTGGGAGAAAGAGATGTACCAAGGGTCAGGATGAAGTCCTGAGAGCCTAATAATACTACCTCAGGCTTCTACCATGACCTCCAGCACTCAATCCCTATGGCACGAAATGAAGAATGCCACCACGGTATTTGCTACCATTTTACAGAAAGGGAAACAAAAATGTGGAATGAGTTTATGGGAATCATCTGAGACTGGAACCATCTGAGCAGAGCTGGATCCATATCCACTATGAGTGAAGAACTGTGCAACTGTGTATCTTGAATAACTTTGACACTGTACATTACAGTGGACCATACCACTGGGTGAGGGTGGAGGGTTTAGGTCTTCCTGTTAATCCATGACTTCTCCCAACCTGTTATTGGAAAGGGACACTGTGTGTGTTACTTCAGGCCCCACTTCTGATATTTCTGGACTCAGTGCTGAAGGGGTGGTCATTTTTCTTTTACAGGTTTAATGGACAGCTCAGGGGTACGAATCTACTATACTCTGGAGCTATGGAAATATGATGTGGGGGTTCTGCAAACAGGCATCTTCACTTTCCCTGTGCATTTCATTCCTCCTGGAGCAGAATCCTACAGATCTTATGGCCTTTGCAATTCCAGCCAGTTTGATGAAGTGTGGGGAAAGCCACACAAAATCCTTCTTGATCTTTCTCACTTTGGGCTTTCATCTTGCTCTAGACATGTAAAAAAGACATTTGGCGCAGGGTGCTATCTTAGCCTTCATTTCTGCATGTTGCAAAATGAGTATCTTTTCCAATAACACTTCTTAGCCAAGATTTGGCCCTAGAGCATTAGCAGAGCTGGGTAAGCATGTTAGAACCATGGGTCTAATACCCATTCACCCCATCTAAGTGAAAGAGAAAGAAAACCTGAAGGATGTAGTGACTTCCCAAGAGGCTCAAGGTGGTCCGCTCCACCACATGCAAGAGGCCTTTGCTTTACCATAGGTGTGTGGTACCGGCGCAGAAAGGCAAGTACTAGGCTGGGAGGATGTAATGCTCTCTCTCGGGTCAAGAAGTTATCTCTAGAGTGGAGATCTAAGATGCCTCAAAACACAGCCAAGTGACTGCTAACAATAACCAGCTCCGGTGGACTGTGGGATCCAGGGGATTCACAGGTCCCTCCAGGACTGCTAGATGTGAGGTTGCCACTTTCCCCTTTCCCAGGCCCAGCTGGGGGCAGACTCCAAAGATATAGACACCCTCCACCTCACCAAAACACACACACACAGAGCACAGACTCAGCTGGCCACAAACAGGTCAACAAGGACGGGAGTACAGCACCTTTACAGGCACTACGCAGACACGAACATTGCCCACAAGCATGGAGAACACAAACGCCCCAGTTCTATTCCTCCGCTCTGGATAATGAGGCTTGAAGTTCACTAGAGAAACATAACCATACGCTCGCTCACTCAGCTCTCATATGTAATCACATTTGTGGGTCTCTCTGATTTCTGGTCCAGACCATAAGTCCTTTCAGCATCTGTGCCCAGATGGTCAGACAAACATACTGACCAGCAATCTGCTTAAGTGCAACTGGACTCTTCTGTTTTCTGTTTTCTGCTTTCTGTTTTCTGTTTTCTCTTCTCTTCTCTTCTCTTCTCTTCTCTTCTCTTCTCTTATCTTCTCTTCTCTTCTCTTCTCTTCTCTTCTCTTCTCTTCTCTTCTCTTCTCTTCTCTTCTCTTCTCTTCTCTTCTCTTCTCTTCTCTTCTCTTCTCTTCTCTTCTCTTTCCCTAACTTGGACCTCTTCCCAAAGCATCTGATAGCAAATTCCCTCCATCTGATAACAATCCCTCTCAAAAATCCAATAGGTTTGCTCCCTTTTATGAGACCTGTGGTACTTTTTTTTTTCTTCTTTTAATCAATTTCAAAAATTTTCTTTTAAGGGTTACATTTTGATGATTTTTAATGTCCCATTGATCAGTGTCTTACAATTTCTGCTTTTACTTTTTTATTATCTGCTCTTTCTTAGAGTTCATGTATCTGTTTAACTTATTATCTACTGTATCTTGTCTTTTTTTTTTACATAGCTGATAGCAAGGTATGCTTACAGTACCCAGCATGAGATACCACAAACTCAGACAACTATGTCAAAGTACCTAAAGCCAGAAGAGCAATTTTCAGAAAGGTTCACCAGAGCAAACTTGCAATCAGTAGTGACTACATAAGGAAATGGTCTTAGACTTTTTTTAAAAAAAAATGTTAAGCTGACATTTACATAAGCTTTTGACTTGATGGGCAGGCTCTGACATACTTCATTTTGAACTGCAGATGAATGGGATGTTGGTTGCAGATGTACATGTTTTCGCCTACTTGCTTCACACACCTGTCTGGCAGAGGAGTGAAAGCTGCTCAATACCAATAAGAGAAGGAAACACACAGCATTGCTGCCCATGCCACAGGATCAGTTCCTGCCTCTTAGGCTGGAGTGGATGAGAATGATGTTCCCAGGTTAATCTCCATCTGTCTGTCAGTGCAGGAGATGCTGCAGCATCTGAATTGTAGTGCAAAGAACTAGCTCCTAGGCAAAGAAGGGTCAGCTCAGCAGAAAGTAAGAGACCAGGACTGTGCCCTCTGTTAAATAAAACAGGTTCAGGCAGTGAGCTCAAACACTGGTCTGCTGCTCATCAACACTAGTCAGATATGGACAGTGCCCTTACATGGCTTGGTCCAGCTACCCAGACTTACTCTGAGACTACACAGGCACAGTTCTGGGGATTGTGTGTACCAGTTCCCTCAGGCTGCATGGGCACAACTGCACTGGGTTTGATTTCCTCCACCATCCTCCCACACTAAAAACTTCAGCACCACTATGTGCTCTCTGATCACACCCCAGCCCATGAAGCACGAATTCTCAGTTTCAAGCTATGAAAATAGCCAGTCATTGTCTGCAGCAAAGTATTTGAACACTACTTCAGCTGCTTAGAATTTGAGAACAAAACAAAACCCAGAACTAAAACTTAATTGTGCTTTATGCCAAAGAGGCATCACAGAGGTCTAAGTGTTTGGTAGTATAGGTATAATGTCTATCTCCTCCTTAAGTTTCTAATTTCAGAGTAACCCAACATGAGCCAAGTATCACACTGCAGACAGTTACAGAGAGGCAGACACTTAGTCTGTGCCAGTGAGCCAAGAACAATCCACTATGCTATGATATTTAGCAATATGGGTGTAGTCCAAGATGTTGCAGCAGCACTCTAATCTTGGAGTTGTCACTGTGACACCTTCAAGATCAAGTTCCCTGCCTGTCTACATTGCATTGCATGTGCACACTCTGGGGCGCGATGTGAGTTCCATATGGAATGGCAAGGAGAAACTTTGGCATTACCTGGTCCTTAGATGTCTGTGCTCTCACACCAAATCCCCTGACCCCTGCACTGTCTCACATATTGCCTCACATGCTCACTCACCCTACAGAAACTCCACACATACTGAGTTGATCATGTAGGTATGCAAGTATGCACTGTAGACAACCTGTGGAAGACAGGAGAGTGCCTGGCCCTCCACAACCAATGCAAACTGAGTTATGAGCAGGGCAGGAGCCGTCTAGTTTAGCTTCTAAGTACATATATGAAATGTTACTCAGAAGAATCTAGGTTGCTCCAAAATGGCACATCTGCCCTTGAAGATGGCCTTCCTCAGTTATTCTTAAAGACCAATGTCACCCTACAATCAAACATGGTTTAAAAACCCTGGCCCTACACCTTGCTACCTACTTGCCAGCATGCCAAGAAATGGGGCCAAGTGACAAGAAATTCCTTCAAAGGCAACCTCAGAAAAGTGGGACTAGCACAAATGTCTGATGGGTATTTTCCCCTCTCCGGCCAACTCTATCTGCAAAATACTCACCCAGCAGCCTCTGTCACCTAACTGTGACATGGCAAAAGCACAGGAAAACTTTTTAAGAACCTTAGGAAACAAACTTGATCTGCTATAACTAGACTAAATAAATGGGGATTTTGTAACTTGAAAGGTGCATTGTGAATATGTCTGTTGCCCAATTATGCCTGTCTGTGTCTCTCAGGAGTATCAGATTATAGCTGGCAAATGTGGTTGTCCCTTGGTAAAGGAGCAAAGTAGACATCAGTAAAACCTATTAGCTTCAAAGCCATCCCTCAGCTTCAATGCTAGTGATCTCCAACCCAAACTGGCCTGACACTGGGATTGCTATGCTAGACAGCAAGAGAAGAGGAGTGAGCCTCCCTCCATCTCACTAGCTAGCACCTTCCAAGTGCATGCTACAAGTAGCAGGGAGTGATATAATCAGGAGAGTTTTCTTTAGACTTCAGAAAAATGGAAGGTTCTGTCTCTTTGCTAGGAATCAGTAGTGAGGACTAAGACAACAATTCAGTTTACTTAGGATGAGAATGTATCAGAGAAAGGACCTTTACAGACTTTACCATGCTACAACCTTGTCCTGAAGACATCTCAAGCACAGGCTCCAGAGCAGAAGGTCAAGTGTTTGAAACACCTTCTGACCAGAGATGATTCAGGCACAGCGAGCAGCTGGGGTGACTAGATTTTTCTGGGATTTCCCCTGTAACACATAGGATAGGTATGTTCTTAGTCACATGTCCAATTAGTGGAGACCTCAGATGCTTTGGAGCTTGACCTTGGCAGAATATAGCAGATTACAATATTTGATAGCAAGTTAGGGGCAGGCCCATCTCCTTTTTAGGTGTTAATTCCAGAATACCCCAGCACAGGCCAAAAGTCACACATAGCCAGTATGAGTGACTTAGCAGAGCTATTTTGTTCCAGACAATAGCAATAGTTTCTGGCTCTTACTCTTTATCCAAGTCACAAGGTATACATAAACCATGTGTCATGACAGAGCATCTTCTTTCTTGACTTGAAGTTTGTGAAGCCTGGCCTCCAAGCCAGGTTCCTCCCTCCTTAACCCATTTTGCTATAAGGTGTAACTGGACAGTGGTGTGAGCCTAACAATTCGCCTGCTCAGAGCTGCCAGCAGTCACAAAGCAGGCCTACAACAAGCCAGCAAGAGTGTGCAACAGCTGCTGGGGACAGCCTGCCCATAAGCACCACAACAATTTGTGGGCTGCATATCTTGATGCAGTTTGCAGTGTGCACCATAGATGTAGTTAGCAAGACCTAAGGACCTGTAATGCGGATAGAGAAGCAGTGCTCAAGCACAGCAGAGACCACCTAAGAAGCAGTTAGCACAAATCACTGTAGAAATAACAAGGAAGAATTCACATGTGATACTTCTGCACCTGCAAGGGAGGTCCTAAACTGCCTGCCAACTCTACTCCACTGGGGTCAGGGAGTCTTTGTTTTTAGGGTAGTGTTTTGTAATGCAAGTGTTGGAGTTCTTAATTCAGGGATCCCAGATTGTCATCTGAAAGGCACAACAATTACTGATGTGTAAAAAATCTGTATTTGGATTCCAGACCAAAGAGGGTTGGGTGAGAAATTTCAATGTTTGGGACTGACTGTTAATGAAAATACTCTCTGTGAATTACGGTACAAAAGAGATCAGGCATGATTTCTGGAGAGGATTTTTCTCAGCTCTGTTTATTTCATCCAGGAATAGGTTATTCCTTACCCCTCTCTGGAAACATTACACACCTACAGCACTGTGTCCGGTTCTGGGGCCTCCAATTCAAGAGAAACAGAGAGCTACTGGAGAGAGTCCAGCGGAGGGCTAAAAAGATGATGAGGGGATTGGAGCATCTCTCCTACAAGGAAAGGGTGAGAGACCTGGGACTTTTCAGCCTGGAGAAGAGAAGACTGAAGGGGACCTTATCAACACTTATAAATATCTAAAGGGTGGGTGTCAAGAGGATGAGGCCAGGCTCTTCTCAGTGGTGCCCAGTGACAGGACAAGGAGCAACAGGCACAAACTGGAGCACAGGAAGTTCCACTTGAACATGAGGAAAAATTTCTTTACATTGAGGGTGCCAGAGCACTGGAACAGGCTGCCCAGGGAGGTTGTGGAGTCTCCTTCTCTGGAGACACTCAAACACGTCTGGATGTGTTCCTGTGTGACCTGCTTAAGGTGAGCCTGCTTTGGTGGGGGAGCTGGACCAGATGATGTCCAGAGGTTCCTTCCAACTCCTACCACTGTGATTCTGTGATCATAACCTTCTCCCCTTGTTTGTCTTCCCCAGCAATGGTGAGCAGCTGAGGATCATCTGTGAGGACAATAACTTCAGACTGCAGGAGATTCGGGACATGAAGGAAATCCTCATAATCAAACCAGTATGAACCTCCCTGGGATGTAGCTGTGGGTGGGCAGGGTGGGGTGGTGGCAAGTACCAGAGGTGTCAAAGCATATCGACACTTTCATCCTTTGTCAGTCTGCGGCCTGTTGTTTTCACAGTTTCCTGGTTCCCATGTTGGAGCGGTTGTTTTGCATGCTTTGCCTGTACTGCTGTGACAGTGTGACCTACTGTGTTCCCTGGGGGATGAGATCCTGGTTGAATGCAACTTTCAGATATTGGCTCGGTCAGGGATTACTTTTGTAAGTTTGTTTTTCTACCTACAAACCTTCCATTACTTTTAAAATCAATTTATCACAATTAAAATATTTTGGGCAGACATTACTCTTCCCCAAGTAAATACAGCCCTGGCAAAAACTTCTTGTGTCAGATACAATACCATGGACATACTGAGGCATGCCTTGCAGAGTTGCTCCATGGCTGGAGAGCAGCTCTCTAGCAAGACTCTCCTACTATAAGCTGATGAACAGATCCCAAAGATATCTTGCATCTAATACCATACAAGATAACTCTTGCTCAAACTGTTAAGTGCAAGTAGCAAAACTTCCAGTTGAGTTGGTTTTCAATCATTGAACACTTGGATTTAGTGAACAGGCAGAAGTCGAATACAGAAACTGATGTAATTTGGCAGCTGGATCTGATTTGGACTTCTCAAAATATGAAGACACTCTTTTTAGTTCTTCTTAGTGAGACGAGGCAGCAGTTTTGCAGAACTTCACATGTAAACAATTATTGTCATACTCAAGCTTTGTAACTTATTTTAGAGCACACGTCATGCAGAGGAATTAATGACTTTATTGCACTTAGAAATGTGCACAAGAAACCAAGGTTTGATCTAAAGCGTATTACAGGGTTTATATTCGCAGAGTGTAACACTGTTTTATTCGGTTGGGCCCATTCCAAAAGTAGGGATAAACTGAAAAATTCTGATCTGGATGTCACACTCAGTTAATTCCCTGCATGTTTTAGTTGAACTTTCCAAAGTTTCAGATTATATATTATATAAAAATATAGTAGTTTTCCTGAAGGATAGAATAAGTAGATTTAAGTTATAAAACTGCAGAGCAACCTATTTATTAGACTCTTAAGAGGATTCTTTGATTCCTGTTTCTAATTCTCAGACAAACAAACTAATTATTTTCTTTCCACCAGACAAGATCTGCCTGAGCTGTGAACAAGAGAGCTTTCCTGAAGGAGAAATAGTCTCCTCGTTGTGTCTCAGTTGACCTCTGAGTCATCCTTGTGTCTTTGCAGGGTGGGCCAACCACCATGAATGAGATGTGTCTCACATTCCTCTTCTACTACCCTCATAACAACATCTCCAGTTGTATGGGCTACCCTGACATTTTGTATGCTGCACATACTCAAGCAGGAGGCCTCAGAGTGAGTCTTGAGTCAACATGTTTCTGGAAGTAGCAAAGCAAAATGTAGCTATGAAGAATGGCAAATGGAAAAGATAATGAGAAGGAAATGCTACTGATAGGGAAGAAAGAGCCATGTGCCTGGATCTGTCTAGTTGAACTCCCTTGTTGCAGGAATCTATCAACTGTGATACTTTAACAATCACTTCTCCTTTATCTTTTTTTCCCTCTTCCTTTTTTCCCCCCTCCTTCCTTATCTTTTCATCATTTGTCTCCACCTCCCCATTGCTCCTTACTCTTTACCCAGTGCAGTGGAAGGAATGATGGCCATAGACTTTGTTGACTGGGACAACAATACCGTCAAAATTGCAGAGAAAGCAGCCAAGGAGGCAGATCAAGTAGTCATGATTAAAACCATTAATGTAAGTCCTCCTTATGAGCAATTTGTGGGTGGGGAAATGGATTTGGCTCTCATGTTCCGAAAGTAAAGCACAGCTGAGAGATAGAGCCAGCACACAACACCTTGGGTAACACTAGCTATTCATGGCTACAGGAACTGAAAGGGATTACCGGAATTAAGAAGTCCTGTCTCAGGCTGCAGTCACGAGTAACTGCTCAAGACATATTTAGTCATCACTTAACTTTGAACTAAAAGCTAAAAATTTTTCTCTAAAGAGAAAAAACACTCTTCTGTCTTGGTAATATAACAGTGCCTAGGGGGTGATGCCATGGCAGGGCATTTTTGACAGAATGAGCAATAAAATAGTGCTGAAGGTCCCTCAGACAGCATGCATATAAAGGGAGTCATAATGTTTCAGAAAATCCACATCCATGGAACATAGCTTCCTGGCTCCTACTTATCTGATTGCATTTCAGTGCATCAGTCTGGTACCTACTCATCTTAGAGGTAAATTAGGGAAAAAAGCTCTTAAATTGAGAAAGGATCAAAATTCCATCATCTTCTCCTCTCTCAGAAGAGTTTCTCTGCTGTCAGAGGTGAGACCTGTTCATGGGTTTCTCTGAGATGATTAGTTACGCATCCAGACAGCAAGAAAATCGACTGAAACACTTCCAAAACTTGCAGTACTATGCCAGAGTCTTGTGGCTCCCAACTTAAAACCAGGTCATGTAATTTTATGTTTCCCTCTTTCCTTCCATCCCCAGGAACTGCAGAGAAATGAGAGTGGTCTAATCAGACACATTAGTATTCCAGAGCATGCTGCCTGTCACTGTCACCAACCACCAAAGAAACTGCTTCACTTCCTCTTCTTTCTTTCACACAGCTGGTGTTTTCTTGGCTTATCTTGGCCTCTGAGTATGGGAAGTGAGGGGCAGATCACTAAACAGATTACTGGCCCTCTGAAGAAGTGTCTGTAATTACCACCTGGTGGGAGAGTGTTCCAGATCTGGTAGCCCTGAACATGAGAGAATACTTACATAATAGAAAATTGTCTCGCTTTGGAAGAAACAGGTTCAACAGGCATTGGCATTTATTTTATTTTCATAAAAAATACTTTCTAATATAGTTCACTCTAAATCAGAAAAGCGATGTACTATAATGCAGTAAAGACAGGAATACAGTCATCTCTTCAATAGCTGCTGCTTAATTGTTAAATCCAGGGCTTTCATAGATGGGCTACTATATGTATTTGCTCACTAGTATTTCAGTAATTATTATCTGATTTCAAGCTAGCTATGTACTCCCTGTACTTAGGTCAGTATAGAAAACTAGATTCCTTAGCTATTAAATAAAGTGATTGATTCTAAAACTAGTCCTGCCATATCCATCAACGACTGCATAGCAGGGAATTTACCTGTTGATTGCCAGGTAATAATGAGTCAATGACTTGGTGTTCACTGAAAAATAGACATTATACACTCTCACACACCAAATCTATGAATTCCAATTTTACAAAAGCTAAACCATTTGCTGTCCCCTTTTCTTGTGTTTTCCCCCGCTTATGTATGAGAATTAGAAGAGCAAATCTGATGACAGTTATGTTCTTTGTCACCATACTGACTCTTCCAAATTTCAAATTTCATACTGGTACTTTTCAACAAATTCTCTTCTCACATAACCCAAGGCAGAGTGTCTGCTTATTTTGACAATAATTAGCACATCAGGAAAAAACATCATGAAACAGAGTGATTAGGAGGGTAAATAACCACAGATCGTGGATTCCTTCCTTATTGGGCTGATGAACATTTATTAGCTGGTAATTATCTCAGCTAGAACAGAAGCATGGACAGAAAAAAAAAAAAATTCCTTGAAGCCAGTGAGGGGAATCCATGAGATTTCAAGAGAATCATCCAGACACTCTGAGCTGTGCCCAAAGAAAACATACATTACTGAGATCACTGCTGTGCTTAGTAACATGATCTTAATTCTCACTAAGCATTTCCCCTTCAAATTCCTATTGGAATATATCAGTTTCCTTCTCAGTCGTAGTGTA